ACATCACATCACATCACATCACATCACATCACATCACATCACATCACATCACATACATGTATGTGTAAATATATATATATAGATGTATTCAGATGCACAAAATCCATATATATACACACTGTAGATGTATATATGAAAAGATGTGTGTAGATGTGTATATATATATACACACGCATGCAGGTGGGCATATCATACCCCAAAGAAAAGCAACTTCATCCCCTCCTGACTATCCACCGTCTGACGGTCTTTGCCCCTTGTCTTGTGGATGCCTGAAAAAGTACCGCGGTGCTCCGAATCGTTCGCTTTGCCACTCCCACCCCGTAACGCCGGAAAGGGTTGAACCCGGTTCCGCTTCTGGGTTCAAGTCTTCTGGGCACCTGCGATCTTTGACCACCTCCTGGCGGAAATCGAGGTCATGCCTCTGGAGCGGTGGATGCTGACAGGCTGCTGAATCAACTTGAAGCTAACAAGAGCCTCTTTGAACGCGATGCGGAGGCGCACAAAGGATTTGAAGATCTGCGAGAGAATTCTCCACCAGGTACACCCAAAAATCAGGCTGGAATCCTGGATGATGACGCTCTTAACTAGCTCTTTGGGCTTGTAAACCACAAGCCCTTGAACATGTCTTAAACAGCCTTTCGGCGCTCTGCCACGGGCCGTTTCACACATGGCCTGAATCTGGGCCGAGCGGAGCAGCTCCCAGTGTCACCCGTTGAAAAGGAGCGCAGCCATCACTTTCATGGGCGAATCACATTCAGTCGACTGAACCCTTCAGTCGACGTCGACAGTCGCTCCCATTTTTTCCATCTTTTTCCATCCTTTCAGATCTTTCGGGTCACAACTTCGCCGGCTCGGCTTTGAGATCGGGTCGTAAACTCCCCAAAAGGCCGCGGATCGGGAAGATCGGGATCGGGATCACATCCCCGCGATCTTGCTTCTCTTTATGTTCGTGGGTCAACCAGGATCCGGGGGGGCTTTGGACCCCCACATGATCATCGGTCAGCGCTTCACCTTTTTGTTTTCTTCTACACTTTTGGCCCAGAGCCATGTCATGTCAAAGTCATGTCATCCAAGTCAGCGAGGCGGCATGAGCAAGCCTCAATGAGGGGGTTGGTTCTAAGTACCTCAACTGGGCCAAAAGGTTTTCGACCTAGAGGCTTCTGTGAGTTCGCATGACAGAAGAGCAAGGGGAGGCTCCAGAGGCTCGAAATGTACCTTCGCAAAGGGGGTGTGATGGCTTCAGTGCTTGCTGTCAGGACGCGTAGTGTCAAGTGATCATCCAGGTGCTCTAGTCTCCCTTATGAAGCTCACACGGACCCTGGGAAGACCATTTTGACTTTGCAAAGCAGTTTTCAGGCTCGGTGTGAACTGCAAGGGGGTAGCTTGCATTTTAAGTCATAAGAGCTGGTGACGGTGACCGGTGATGGTGAGCTGGTGACGCTGTGAGTGGTTTTTGAGGCTGAGTGATGTTGACGAGTTGACGGTCCTGGAGTAGTTGCGGAACATGTCAAAACAACAAGACACGTGTTTGTTTAGCTTGATCCAGGTACAGCGTAGAGCTTCGGCCATGTGGTTGGAGAAATACATCCGGAAATACTGGACAGCTTCAGCACTGTTTCTGTGGACCATCAACGGCTTTTTGGTGCTCCGATCTCGCTGGGGACCTAAAAAAACGGCCACCTGGCAAAGAGCAGCACAACCAGATTGGCGGGAGAAAAACATCAAACCAGGCCGGCCATTCCACGCATCAGCCACCAGGATATCCTGGCCATCAGAACAATGGCATCTCAGGCTTCACCCTGAACACTGGCATCTCAGCACATCTCAGCCATCGAAAACCCTCGTGAACCGGTGTAACCGGTGGCTCGGTTCGTCTGGCTGACTTGGGACCGCCTTCCTGGCAGCCAGGACCACTCGAACGTCTTCCCTGATTGCTAGGGGACCTGAGCTGGTGCGGTGGTTGATGGACAACATGCACCGGAAACATGAAAGGAAACAAGATCATGATGCACCCATGTTTGTTTCGGATGTGCAGCTCTTTTGGTCGGTCGGAGTTTTGGTTCCTGGAAACGCCTGCAAGCCAACATGGAAAGACTCTCATCAGATGCAGCATATTGACGCCGTAGTTGAGGCCAAATCTTCCAGGCATTGGAAAGCCTTTGCTACCTTGTCCGGGACCCTTGTGAGGGTTTGTCTCACCCCTTTTGAGAGACCAAACGGACCAATAGACGGGGAGCACTTTTTTGGAGTACTGAGGATTGAAAAGATAGCTTTGTCCTCTCACAGCAGGTGTCAGGTACCCCTCGTACTTGGGAGCCCTTTTTTGTGCACACAGAACAGTTTTAGATACCGAGTGCCAGTTTTACAGGAAGAGGAAAATGGCTTCGTTGTCACCAGCTATGCAGCTATGCGTCCACATAGTGCTAAAAGGACACACGTGTCCTTCTAAAACCGCATACTGCCGCGTTTCACACCGCTGGTTTTTTCACCCCACCTCTCCGGACAGCCGAGCCGAGGAAGCCGATCTTGGATCTGGGTGGTTGGGGCCTCGGAGTCTCTGGTGACCATTACATTCCCCACGATCCGATGGGTTGGGCGACTGTTTTGTTGGTCGGTGACCGAACCTCAAATGGCGGAAGAATCACAAAAAGGACACAATTTGTTTGCTGGTTATTCTTGATTTATAGAAACACACATAATAATTTATACAGTACTATTAAATTATGATTTGTTTTCCTCTCTTTGCTTTTTGTGTTCTTTTTTTCCCCCCATGTGCTGACCTTTGCGAGCCTCTAGGCGCGGCGGATCTGCCGCGCGGCTCCGCGGCCAGTGCCCCAAGTGCCATCCCCCTCGATGCCGAGGTGACTGGAGGGCGCTCAGATGGTTGTGACACAGTGAAGATCAGTGAAGATATGTGGAGATGGTTGTGTGTTAGAGCATCGCTGCTAGCAACAAGGGCATTATTTCCCCAATAGTAACAAGAAGCTACTAGTAGCGATGCACTTGCTACTGTACTGCCTTGTGAAGATGGTTGTGTGTTGACATGGGGAGACGAGACACTCCAGTTCGACCCCGAAAAGGAAGATGCCACATATAGAGGAAAGTCCATTGGTCCCGCGGGGGCTTGTTCTCGGTCCGAAGCCCAGATGTTTAGAATCGGCTGAAGGATGAAGTTGTCGATCTACACTACGGGCCATTGAAGAGTGGTAGTTCCAACACACCCCTGAATACAGGGTACATTAGTAGTGGTGATTCATGAAAAAGATCATCAAAAAAGACACCGAGATCTCGTCGTTCACGTCGAACGTCGCCAGGAGATTCGATCCATCGCCCGGCATCCACGCATGTCATCCTTGCAAATCCACGCGAGCAAGAGGACGGACATCGGCTGGGAGTCTCTGGACGGACATCGGCGTCATGAAGCACACGCACGAAGTCTTTGGGGAGAGGAAGAAACGCCCCCAGGAATCTTCATCAGCGTGGCTCTTTGCTTCAAAAGTCTCTCCATTTTCGATGAGACTCCCAAAATCGTGGAGCTTCTAAGACAGCCGATTTGACTCGGCAGATTGACTCGTGTTCGGGAGCTGCTGGCAGATCCAGGATTGCCACACTGCGGCGCAAAGAGGCCAGGGAGCAGCTGATCGCTGTCCGTGTCGTCCTGGACTTTGGACAGACTCTGGGGACATCCCCAAATCCGTTTTGGGGCGTTTGGGCATGGCTCAGATGCATTTGTTTCAACATGTTGAAGATATAAAATGATATAAAGAGGCCGCCCGTCAAGTGTAGGACTTGTAGGAAAAGACGTTTCAGGAAAGACTTCGGTCTGCGTAGGATGTGAACCGTCGACGTGCTTCCCGTCGCCTGGGCGCCACGGGTCTCAGGTCCAGGTGGACATTCCTTTGGCAGACTTCCGAGAGAAGCTTCGTTCTTTTGGCTGGGAAGTGGGAGCCTCGACCATGAAACAAACCGTTGAACGAAGAACCGAAGACTTGGAAGCAACTGGCGTTTGGGGCCTCTGAAGTATTTGGAAGGGGTCGAAGGAGAGAAGGAGGGACAGCGGACCAAGACCCATTCCGTTTTACTTTTCTTCCTTTTCTGCGGGAGCGTACTGCGGTGCCCGCTTGGGGACAATGTTTGGGGCCAGCACACCTCAATCTGGGCCTGGGCGCACTGTCTGGCGCTGTGACAGCCTCCCAAGACAGCTTCGCTCACGGCATGTTAGGGATTCAGAAAGGCCAAGTTTTGGGCATTGGACAGCTTGACAAACCTTGAGCAAGCCTTGCCTGAACCTGGAGGTTGCTCCAAAAAGAATTACGTTCTGCAACCTTTGCTAGATCTGTTTTTGCACCAACAGCAGCCATAGTTGTTGGACATCGCCAACCAAATCTGGGACCTAAAAAATCCCAGAGGCTCGGTTATATAGTTCGGACAAAACACATGGAAAGTGTGCCATTCGGTGGTCATTGGAATGTCTCTTCATCGCAGTGTGGTGGTTTGCTGTTGGTGACAACAGAACAAGTTGTTGTTCTTGTGGGACGAGTTCAGCCCCAACGGTGCGCGAGCATTCTCTAAAAGAAACTGCGACGAGGCCCAAAACTGCCATCATCCAATTCTCCTGTTTGGTGATGACCAAGAAGAGGCTGGCTTGATGGGTTTATTGGGGTTCGGGGAGACTTTCGTGACGGGATCAACTTTGGTGTGTTTGTACTCTTGAAGAATGCTTTTTATCATTCAGATTGACAAATTGATGAAGAATACTTTTGGAGACCGCAGGTTTGGTGCCTGATTTTCACTCTCCGTCTGGAAATTCGGAGAAAGCTGGTGACCTGCGGGTGTTTGCGCTAAGTGACTACTGCAAGACTGCTTTCTCACACTGCGTTTGGTTCACATGGTCTAGCAGCCCAGCTTTGTCTGGGAACAACAAGTTGACTCGGGTTAAGTTAGACAGGTGGATCACCATCCATACATTTCTTCAAGGTCTTTTTGTATCTGAATCTGGGGAAATCTAACCTGCACTGGTTTGGAGAAATGCAACACATCTGGCCTCACATCTGGTAAATTGTATTGATTCCTGGGGTGGAGATACTCAAACAGAAACATCATCAAAAATCCGCAGGGTCGAAGAAAAGAACAATAGACTGCTCTACATGGGTGGACCACCAGATTCCTGACATTTATCTAGGGCAGTATCTAGGGCGTATCCCATTACCAGGGAATGGTAACATACTATTGATTATGAACTACTATTTTTGAGAAAGGCCTATACCATCCATCATTATCCACTGTTGCTTGAACATTTATCATCTATCTTTTTTCTTTTCGATTTGTTTGAAGACATCTGGGTGATTCTGGGTGCGTATTAGGGAGACCGCCGTTTCAGAAGGACAACGGGCCAAAGGTTGACCAAAGGTTGGGTGTCTCCCTAATTCAGATACACCGTTTCCATGTCCTTCCTCTACCTGTGCTGGGGCCGGTGATCGGCGCTGCCGGATGTTTCCGTCGGCAAAACCTATCTCGCGGGAGGATGAAGATTCCAACTCTTCATGTTCCCATTCCATGAATGGTTTTTCCTTCTCGAGTCCACAAGG